AAAAATTAAATTTTACATGGTAACAAATAACTGTTCATTAAAAATAATACGTTTTTATAAATAACCAAATGACATTGTATATTAAAGAATAATTAAATAAATGAATTAGATGTATTATTTCAATAATCTTATTTTATTTATTTATATACTCAAATTTGACATTTAAATTAATTAAAATATAATGTAGTTTAACTGTTTATTTTTCTCTTTATAAACACCGAAAGAAATATAACATTTATCTTGGCGATATAACTATAGTATATTGAAAATAAACAATAATAAAATGCATGTCTTCTACGTTAAAAAAACTGTATGGGGTACGTTATGCTGTACTTTGTTTAAAATATCAAAGTCAAATAAAAATATAATCATATTTATTCGTAAAAAACGGAGTAAAAATGTAGAATATCAGCATATTTGACATAACATCTGAAAAATAATTTTTGTGACAGTGAAATAAAGAATAAAAATAACAGCTTAACAAAATAATCCCGTGTATTTTCTTTGCACAAATTCTTTTAACTAAGTTCCTATGATGTTCTTACAATAATATGATTCAATTTTGTTACATTTGTTCTCGTTGAAGTTGAATTCATTACAAAACTCTCAAGTATCTAAAATGTCGTTAAAAAAAAAAAAACTATTATTGTAGAATTATAAATTCAACGGGGCTGCAGCACTACGACCACCCCGGAAAAAACATAAATCGATTTTTTATCATAAATCAAAAAAAAAAAAACAAAAGGGTGTTTTCACACAGCATATGCCGACGACACTATTATTAACACCGTGGGATCCTTGCACAACATAAATAAACATTATCACATCATTAAGTGCTTTCTTTGCCGTGTTAACACGACAATATATATTAACGCACAATTTACATTACTTTTTACAAAATATGGGCGCACATATATTTATTCGCCAACAAAATGTGCTCTCGCCGAGGACCCCAGTGATATAATGTTATGTTACGCATCGACTGCATCAGCGGCACATCGTGTACAGAGGTAACGGCGACATTTGTTATGCAGTACCTGCAGCAGCTCAGTAAAAAGTAGGTTTATGTACACATTTTACCACCTCTGTTTGGTATGAATTTCCCGTTTATTTTTTCTCGCTCCTTCGCAGACTCTCGCTGATTTTCAGCTTTTTAATGTTTCTTTACTGTTGTGCTGCGGAGATTTACGGTATATAACTGCGTCGAATGGGAATATTATACGCAAATGTCGGTTATTGTCTGCCTCGACGTTATAAAAAAATTACCGAAGTAAATACGACTTACCGGAGACAAGACATATTTTTCCACGATTCCATCACCATCTTGGCGCTATACTCTAAACAAAGTTTTTTCACGCCTTAAACGTTTCGTTTCACCTCCCCCGTTAAAGGCAGTGACCCAAGCTCGTTAATAACGCCGAGTTACATAATGCCCGTGTCTAATCTGAATAACGATCACAATTACTGTTAATGTCCGATAATTGCGTCAAACAACGTCGACTAAATGATTTACTGTGATTTTACAATGTTCAAAAATAATTACATGTTGTGTTTGCCAACACACAATAGTACCTTATCTCGATATTAAATTTTATTTATATTAAAAAAACTCAAAGGTTTTGTTTTTTGAACACTAAATGGTTTCGATCAATTTATATGACCCAACTGCACAAATACTTTTTTCGTTCAATACTATATCCTAAACCTATTTAAATTTAATTACACTTCCATTGTAATTGCTTTTCAATTGAGGCTCTTATTGTGTTTTATATAAAAAAATAAAATGACTTTATTTATTACGTTATTTCCTCGCGTTAAAAACGAATTGCTAACAAAAATCCAATAATAAAAATTCTACAAAGGACGTATAATAGTGTGTTTCAGTTGAAACTTCAAATAGAATAGTAATTAAACTCGTTACTTACACTAGTTGCATCACAAATTACAATTTATTCATTATACATAACCATTAAAACAGGAAATTTCTCATTAAAAATAAAACACATTTTTCAGAATTATTGCGAGTGTAGTTATTTTTTATTGAATTAAGCTATAATATTTAAAAATGCCTTAACACATTTTAACCAGTATACAAATTATTTAAAACTTCATTTTAGTTTGTCGATATAAAACTAAATTAAACCCTAATCAATATTTTTGCACGCTATAAGAAGTGATCTAAAAATTCCCATATGCCAGTGTAACATTTTTAATATACATGTTAATTTTACAAACAAATAGTGTAATTTCGACATAAATCATAGAAAATTTGTACATAAATATAACATTTTTATCATTATTTATCCTAAATTTCCATGGCATTTTATGTACTAAAAATGTACATGTGTTGGACATTTTTAGCAATGAGAGAATTTGATCATATTTTTACAAGTGCAGTTTTGAAACCAAAATGTGATTAATTCACATTTTTAATGGCGTTTTATAAAATTCAATAGTAATAATAATTTATTATTACTATTGAATTTATTACTTTCAGCATTTAAATATTTTGTTTTGTAAACATTGTTTAATAAAAAAATAAAAGACAACATTTTTTAATAATTTAGAACAATTTTTTTTTGAATATATCTTTTTTGGAAAAATATATTAGAACGCTTATGACTCTGAATTGTAATTACTCATCAAAAATTCATTATCTATTTAATTGTTTGAGAATCAAAATATAATTTAATTTACCTAGTGTACGATTTATTTAAATGTCAAATCTAGATAATTTCAGTATTAAAATAAAAGTTTAATGCAACTCGGTTAGTGGCCAAACGAATTCAACATGCATTTGCATAACCTGAAATTAATAAAACCCAACAATAAATCTATGAGAGTGAATACCTTTCCCTTTTTTCTCACTTATTGCTTAACAAACCTCAGTAAAACTGTCCAGCTGTCGAAAACTATCAGTGTTTAGTTCCCGGAGTTTTAAAATATGCAGTTCTAGAATTTCGGGATTATATTTAAATTCGGACTAACATACCTTTAACTCGCAGTGACCCTTTTGGTATTTATTTTAAAAGACCTGTACTTTGTTGTTCATTCTTGTTTTATTAACGATTTTCAAATAAAATCATATTTTACCGTTATAGTCAATTTTCATGTAGCAAACTTATACTTTGAAGATCAAAACCAAATCAAAGTCACTTATTTCTAACATAGAATAAAACCATATTTTACATTTCTTATGCATTTTCATTAAACTTACTTAATTTTTCTCCCTCCATAATATAAAGTATCACCAAAGAGCTTTTTTTTTTTTTTATGAAACCGTTTTTCTCACTAATGAAAAAACTTTTTTAAAAATTGCTCAATTAAAATTAATTGAAATGTGTTTGGACAGTTAACAATCTATTTTGATGAATACTTTATTTTTAATAGTAGCATTTTAAAAAACTCATTCCTTTTTTTAAGTCTGAGTAAAGGTCACGTCATTTTTATCTTCTACCAAACAGAAAGCAATTAAAACTGTTTAAATGTTGTATTTATATAAATACGTTTCGTCTGCATTAATTTGTTTTAACTACTATACTTCTTTGATCAAACAAAAACTCATATAATCCTTGTATTTTGGGTAATATTTAGTAGAGAGTTACGTCAAACAGAAATCAAAGGGAGACCAAGATATTTTAATTATTGTAGCACTAACAAATAATTCAATCACTAAATCTAGAAACTAGAATACTAACAATTGGCTATGTCCTGTTAAATTATTAATATATTTTACTGAATCGGTCATAATTATATTTATCATATCATTAAACATATTTTTAATGTACCTCAATGATTTAAAAAAACGAATAACGACAAAATTTAATTTATACTATTAAATGAACATGAAATTTTAATTGCTCTTGATTTTAATAAGTAAAGTGTACTTTATGAGTAGTAAAATATTATAACGGTGAAAAATGTAACATGAAACGAAGTTGTTAAAATATTACCTTCGGTGGACCAATCATAATTTTCGTATCTTTTAAGTAGAAACTATACTAAATAATCTTATTAGTTTTATCGATTGAACCCTTTGAGCGATATTTTTATTAGGTATATAATTAAGTATATAATTGAAGAGTTTCTTGTAATTTCTGTAAACACAATATCATAAACAGTAGCGCAAAGTATAACCGGCAGATATCTTTATTATTACCTAATTATGTATCTCTTTTTGTTTAGCTTATATCGAACATGAATTGTTTAACGACCGATAGGTTTTGCTATTGTGATACTGTACTGGTTTTCAATTCGGAAATTCAACCGTGTAATTTGTCCACGTACAATAAAACATCTAAAACTGAATGTTTACAACAATTACCAGCTCAATAATAACGTTTTAGTTATATAAACTAATATACAGATATTTGTACTTGATCACAATACAATTTAACGGTAGTCGAACCCGTCCACAGTATAAATATACAGTGCTGCTCAATGATCAAACATTGACGTTTTCCAAAATGTAGTTATCAATAGTAATTATGTCGGTTGATCAACTTCATTGGATGCACGACTTTCATATTTTCCGACCGAATTGTGCGGAGGACACTCGAATTATTGTACCACCGAGCACATGCAATACTGCAACCATTGTCCAATCATCGTTGTAGTACAAAATAGTTGTGAGCACGAGGTAGTGGTAGGGGCGGTAACGGGTAGTGTAAGTGTAGGAGATGTACGTTGGCTTTGTGGAAAATATAATAGCTCCGGTCCAAGATATGGCCGGAAAAGGAAACCGTGCGGACACACAATAGCCAGGCAATTGTCATGCCTATGGTGGTCTATGCGTATACCCTCCTCTCTTCTTTCCCCCACTGACAATTTCCGGAACACTAAGTAGTAAAGACATGGACTGCTGGCAAATAACATGGAAAGCGCGTATTTAAGGGGTAGGAATATGATGTATCTATGGCTGAAAATTATTGTACAGCATTATTATTATTATCATTATTAATATATTGTTATTATAATACGTGCATTTTCATTTGTTTTAGTGCCACCTGAGCATCCGGTTATATTTGACAAGTGGGGTAGGCAGTTCAACCACACAATTGGTCCGCTCAATGAACACGATGATGTAGCTCTCATATGTCGTGTCACAGGAGGTTAGTTAATTATTTTATTTATCTATATTTACATTTATTTTTGCATTCAATTAGTTTAAATTTTCAAAAATCGAGTCATTAAAAAACTGAATTTTTATGCAACAATCGTCTATTTTTGAATTATTTTATTGGGAAATTAAAATCGTATAAAATATTGGTTAAAACACTAAATTTAATGCTAAACTTATTACATCGTAATTGTATTGAATGGAAAAAAATATCTTGTTGGTATAATCGATTTTCATATAGACTAGCACATATTCTCAGTAAATTGATTAAGGAGTACAATGAAAAAACTAGCGCGTGTTCATATTCGTGACACGTTTTTGGTTTACTCGAAAAATGAGTATTTGAAGGGACATCTCTTCAAATATAAAGAGACATTCAACCTTTTTCGTGAGCTGTGTTATAAAATTTTAAAACTATGTCGGATCTTGTTATATCTTATTTGTTTGGTTTGTTGTGACTTAGATGTAATATTGTTTTAACACTTCCTAATTTAATAATAATGTTAAAAAAAAAAAACAACATTAAATTATATTTTATAATAAAACAGTACTATCGTTATTTAAACTTTTTATGGCTATTTGAGTAGATAATATATTTAAAACATCTTTTATATCGTTTGGTTTGAATATTCCTCATTTAAAATGTCATATTTAATAGATCAGACATCGTTGTGCCACAGATAGTGCTAGACGTAATATACATTAGTCATCTTATAAACTCAAGTCGTAAGTAATTAAGTAACTTACACTCTTGACGCTACTTTAGCATTCTCAAAACATATTAAAAATTAATAATTTTAGACCATAATATTTTGTCATTTATTATTTTTAACGATTCATATTAGTACACGTTATTTAATAAATTATGACAAGCATGCATAATTTAATTACCATAAATGAACAACACCCAAAAGATTACTTTAGTGCAAGTCCTACAATAACCTGGCAATGCATGTACGATAAACATTTCTATTGTGTATTTGGGGAATAATATACAAAGCACAATCCAATTAAAAAATCTACTTTTCTGACTAAAAACAACGCAAAAAATTACAAATATTTTGATGATGAACTTTTTGTGTTCAGCCTTCCCGTTGTTGATTTAAGGGCGATATTAAATAGGCGCCTGACGTTACGGATTTTATTACTGCGGGGGTGGCCATACATTTCTTGTGGGTTCCTATCTTTCACTTTTAATAACTCTTGAAAGCCAAAACATAATTTATTTTACCTAAAAAGCTTTTTTAAAGAAAAAAATAAAATTTATTTTTAGTATAATTTTCAATTTTAATGCGATAAATATCCTTAAAATAAGAATTATGGACTTATTACATGACCACCAACTTTTATTTTTGTTTCTCGTCAATAACGTAATGAGTGTGATACTCATTGATTAGAGACAATTAGCCCTTATAGATTCTCCGTATTGCGTTTTTAGACAGACACAAAAATAATTTTGAAACACGTTTAAGCAAATTGGAGTAGTAGTAAAGTTAATATAAATTTATTTAATTTATAAACTTAGAAAGATTATATTTCCACAACTACAATTACTCGAGTTAATTATTTTTACAACTTACAACAATTTTCAGCTCAAAAATTATACTAAAAATAAATTAATATTTTTTTCTTTAAAAAAGCTTCTTAGGTGAAATAAAATATGTTTTGTGAAGGTGAAAGATAGGAACCCGTAAGAAATGTATGGCCACCCCCGCAGTAATAAAATCTGTGACGTCACGCGCCTATTTAATATCGTTCTTAAATCAACAACGGGAAGGCTGAACACAAAAGGTTCATCATCAAAATATTTGTAATTTTTCGCGTTATTTTTTTAACTTAAGTTATTTTTTCTTATTGGGTAGTCCTCAAGGTTACTACTTACATACACAACAAAATTGTTAAAATTTATCTCTATGGTACGGTTTGCTTGTTATCTATATTAAAAAAGGTACACACGTGTAGTCTTGATAATCTTAAATGCTATTGTCAATCGATACCTAGTTTTGATTAATATCTCGTAATAAAGCGAATCATACAAAATCGTGTTACTAAAATTTCTCAACACACAACAATATTCAGTTGTTATTTCAAGTTTGTGGACTTTAAATATGATTATTAAAGTTCTAAGGAAGAAAATATTTTTGTTACTCTTGTGATCTCTGCTAGAACGCGCACAAAATATTGTAATTTATATTATTAATACAGCATAGGGATGTAACATGAGATTCAAAAGCATCAACAGCGGTATTGTTATAACGTCACGCATCTGTTGCCCTTCATATAACAGTCGCTTACACGGTTTATCGTCATTGTGGTGATGGTGTTTGCGATATCATACGCATCGTTGAGCTGATACAATCCGAAACTTATTGGTTTTCCTAATACTCAAAACTTGTTAAGAATCACTTAGACTTTGCGGAAATCAAGTAAAAGAAATGATACGGTCGCCAAAACGATTCCGATCCGATTGTGTTATAATAACACGATATTTTCTTTATTTTGCAGGATTCTCTCAATTGATTTATATAAACCGTCAAAGTTTTTCATGAAAACGATCGTTTTGTTTCTTTTCGCGCAATAAAATAATATGTAACATTCTCAGAAATCGCTGCGGGATTCGACAATTATTAAATATTGATCATTGTTATTGGGCTCTTCGACTTCAGTCAACGATCCACACCAAAGTAGATCGCACACATCGAAATACTTTGGGCGATACTGTTTGTGTATTCGGAACGTGTGTACATTCGAGTGAGTAAGAAGAAACGCCCGAAGATATCACACGATGCATACTTATATTTATAAAGGTTCTTTTATAAACGCCTTATATTAGTCAAAATGGAAGTGTCGAAGAACACGGCACGAGCGTATAGTTAATTTTGAAAACAACCCTGGGGTGTAAAGGAAAAACACGAGAGAAACAAAGAAAAATTCACAGAACAACTTTAAACGATTCTCGCAGTAACGAATTCTCCGTTTACACATTTTTATTTGTATTAGCTGTCTACTACAATGTTTCGCTCGAGTGCAATTACTTTTTTCCTGATATTTAAAACGGTAATTCTCAAGTCAATCTAACAGCTAGTTGCAATACGTTTATATGTACTGCGTACCGTTAGTACTTTCCGAACAACTAAAAAATTCCCAGAAAAATATTATTTAAATATTATACTTGACAAATGTGTTATACACCTTGTTTTGATTTTATTTTCCGAGGTAACATAAAGTTATATTTCTAAGAAAAAATTATTTAGTTCGACATTCAAAGTATTTACTTTTTAATAAATAAAACACAAGTAAATTTGTAATACATTTTTTTATTAAAAACTGCTTTTGTAATTTCAAAAAAAAAAATGTTATAAATAATATAGTATATTAAAATATATAAATCATGATGTAAGAAATTGGCACTCTGCGGGTTAGCTTCAGTATTCAGTCACGATTATCGATATTTAATCTCAAATAAATGATCAAAGATTATAATTTTTAGTACGGAAGTCTATAAAAATCCAATGCAATTTAATTTTCCTAAACTTATACATACCAAATGGATTTCAATTTAATGATGACTAATATAAAACCGATCGTCTCACTGTACTAAACATATTCAAATGTATAAAGGAATAAAATTATGAAAAAAAAAATCATAAATAGGAAATTTTTATGAAACTTGATAATTACATTTATATAAAGCACCTCAAAAGAGTTCTGTGTTGTCGACAATTAATCATCTGAGAACTCATTTGAAAAGAAATGTGTTGTTAGGAGTATTACAATTTTGGTGTCTTATAAATAAATATAACAAACACAATAAAAGTAAATCAAGAATATATTCTTAGTATTATTTGTAAACAATTTCTTATAACTATTGTTAATTTAAAAACCATCTTAAGCTAAATATTGGCATAATAAAAAAAAAATTACTTGTTAGTTTCTAAAAAATATTATACACTTCAATAAAATTTATATACATACAATTAAATAATTTAGCGCTCAAACCACTAACCTTTTTAATTTCTTTGCGAATTGTTAATTTTATTTAGTTTGTTCCAGTTTTTACACTATTATTTTGAATCGAGTAGAAAATCAATATAATTCAGTAAAGAAAAAAATCTTAATTATAAAATAATGTACTGAATATCCATAAGTTCGTATTTCAGAATCTATATTTAAAATAATCATTTACTAAGAAATGTGAAAACTTTTCTACCTTATGGAATATTAAATTAAACAGTTCAAGCTAAGCTAAAATAAAAACAAATAAACTAGGTCGTTACTATGCTTATTTAATTCTGCACAGATTGACAGGAATTTTAGGCATTTGAAACAGCAAAGAGATCGATTCAACTGAAATTTTTTTACGAATTATTTTTATCTGTGACCAAAGCTGTATAATGAAAATTGAACGAAAAATCTACGATCATTTTAACCTTAACTTTTAAGTGTGGAAATGTAAACTTCAAAAATGTTTATTAAATTATTCATACTAGGTACACTTAGTAGTTTTTACTATTTCAAAAAATTAATGAAATTTAAGTCATAGAAAACCATTACGCGAAATTATAACAAAATAATAAAAAAGTTCTAAATTATCTTTTAATTTTTTTCCTTAACTCCCTAAATAAATTATAAAATTAATTATCGAAAAGAATAATGTTATTCTGATATTTTTTATGAATATGTACAGAGATTCAATCAATCTTATTAAATACACAAGTTTATAGGGCTCTTTAAAACTTTCCATATGTTCTATAAAAAATATACACTATGAAATATTTTAAAAGTTTAAATGAAAATATCATATTATTATCACTATGGAATAGTTAAATAAAATTTAAAAAAGTTCCAAATACACCCCAACTCCATTTTAAAAAATTAGAATGTCTATTTTTGGTCAAAAGATTTTATACTTCATAAATATTTTCACCAAATTTCAAGTAATATCTAAATACCTTAATACCTTAATACTTAATACCTACATCCTTAAAAAATCTTTCCAATTTTTTACACACATGTATTAAAATCTATACATACATACATACTTACATACGAAAGTTTTTAACGCATACAAAATCAAGTAAATTTTGGGTAAATAGTAATAAAAATTTTATATTTGTGAACGAATGTTTGGTATTTTATGTAAAAATTACACTACTTGCGAGTAAAATTAACATGTATATTAAAAATATCATACAGACGTATGTCGATTTTCGGATTATTTCTTACAGTGATAAGATTAGTTCTGTGATCTATTCAAATTTTGTCAAACAAGTCGTAGAAAAAATTTATAGTCAAATTTGATGAAATATCGAGTAATATTTATCGTTTTAGTCGTTGGTGAACAGCAAAAATTTTCTTTTTAAATGTAAAATAGCCACTTATAGTCACTACATTCTCTTTTTAAAATACCATGGATAATGATTTTTGAGCAAATTATACTATCCTAGTTGATTGTTTATGTAAGGTATTTATATCCCATGGTGATTTCCAAGTTTTAAGTCGTTCCAGAAAATACTCAAGTCTGTGGGGATCTACATAATTTTTTATACGGGCGGCCATAGCAAAAAACTCAAAATCAAATATTGTAAACGTATTTTTCGAGTGTAATTTTAAAATTATAATCTATAGGCACAGTAAAAAAAAAGTTGAAAAAAAAATTTTAAATGCTTTTTATATATTTTGGATATATAAATAAGACCTTTCAAAGTTCATTAATTGTGATACTGATATAGCATTAAACTAAGATTTATAGAAGTACATCGTTTTGGCTATTAAAAGATTTAGACAAAGACATTAAATAGGCTTAATTAATGAAACTTCTTGGTTTAAATTTAATGTTACTGCAAAAATGAAAAATGTTGAGTTGTGTCTTTTTGTTGATAGTTATAATAGATCGATACCGAGAGGCGTCACAACCAGTTATTTTAAAGAAAGAGAGAGAGAGAGAAATAAAGACAACACCAGACAAATGAGAGCGTAATATTGACTGTTTGCAAATAGTAATAAGTTTATTATTTTGATTATTTTATAAGCTCAAAATAAGTATTTTTAAAATAAATATTTCAAAATGAACATTTAAATAGGATAAAAAAGAACGTTAAGACAACTTGGTTTATACGAAATTGGTCTTGAAAATCTTTACAGAAATTAAATTTAAAGTGTAAGTGTCAACAATAGTCTCTCCAGACATTTATCACTGTTGATGCTATTCAAATAAGACCACAGATCATCGTTATATAAATGAATGTTTCTTCTTATCTACGGACTATGGATTTATTAGATCATAATAAAGAACTAGTATTTGATTGTAGTAATCAACTGATCTCGCAATCAAATGTGCAAACAATTATATGGCCTAAGAACGTAATTCTTTTATCGTTTATATTTTATCCCTGACACTTTAACGAGCAAATTGTTAAAAAAACAAATACTACAATTGCATACAAAGGTTTCTTTGTCAATCCAGGTCAACCGACTAGACTTATAACCTATGTATATTTAAATGTCAATTATTTATTCTCAAATTAATGAAATAATTGATGAATAATTCATTATACTGAAATAGTGACAATTACAATGCAAGTATTATTAAATTGAAGAAATTAAAATGATAATAATGTAAGTAAAAAAGACTAACATTTCACAAAAACGCTAAAGAAAAACATCAAGCTAAAAAAAAATAAACAGAATTGGCTACTAAATGGTTTGATATCAAATTATCTAAGCTTTTACAAAAACAATTAAAAAACTTCACTTTTAACTCGATTATTTTACAATTGAACGGCTTATTTTGAGATTATCAATAAAATTATAAATGAAGATAATACAAGCAATATAATAAGAAGAAAAATAAATAAATTTAGGTAAAATTGTACTAAAAAAATATAATAATTAAAGCTTGAGTATTGTTGATTTATTGAATACTTGAGCATACGCCTAATCGAGTGAAAACATTTTTTGTACAATTTTATGTTTGAAAATTGTATCTATTAATGTAGATAAGATAATTATGAAAAAGCTGCTAATAGTGTGGTAACAATATTGTGACGAATTAAGTACAAAAGTAAAATGATCGAGTTGAAAAGTTGAAGTAAAGTGGAAAGAAAATTTGATATCCAACCATTTTGTAGCTTATTTTTTTTTTTTAGCTTGGAGTTTTTTTGTGTAAAAAATTATTGTTTTGGAACAATTTAATGCATATAATTTAATATATATATGGTGTCTTCAAGTCAACATTATGACGAATTAAAAATATTTTTATCAATTAGTTTGAATATAATTGGTTCAAATAAGTTTTGTAACTTTTTCAAAAGATGAAAAAAAATTTTCTCGCCATGCTCGTTATAATATCTTAATTTTTAACAAATATCTTTTAAACAATTCCAACTCGTATCAAATTTTTACTTTTACCTTGGAACATTATGAACAAGCAAAATAAAAATAGATTATAGCTAAGTTAAACAATTTAGTGTAATACTCTTTAATTAAAAAAAATCTAGTTTAACAATGACTACATCAGTTTATGTACACAAGAATAAATGTAAAAAACTATGTGTATAACTATTATAGGTACACAAATTATTATTTTTTTTATTGAAAAAATTGTATAGGGAGGTGGTCGCCCTCACCGCCTTCTCATCAAAAAGACGCGCGCTGCTCACACTTGATTTTTTTAAAGAAAATTTCTGGAATTTTTTTTAAAGTAGTTATTTTTAATAGACGATAGTTTTAATATTTTGTAATGCAATAGCAAAATTAGATTAAGCTATAAATTTATAACAGAATAAAATCTAGTATTGTGGACTGAAAATTAAATTAATGTCAACTTTGCTGAAGGTATTGTGATAATAATAACAATAAGTAATAACCATATCACGAATAATGAATAGAACTGTATAGGATATGGTCGTGTAATATACTCTGAATCTATTCTGCTGTTAAATCACCGCACGATACCATTATACGTTCATCCAGTCAGTCGCAAATGTAAGGTCTTAGTATAATCTTAGGAGGGCTTTGCAGAGCTATTTGAGATCTCTTGGGCACAATACTTAAAGATAATATCACGTCACGTAATATTTGGATACGCTTAAACAGACTTGCTTCCTACAGGAACGGAAGCAAAGGAACGAAGGAAGCCGATGGATTCTTTGTTGATAAAAATTACTTGTGAACTAAGCAAGTAGTTTTAGAGAGAAAGGAACTTTTTATCGGCTGTCCGAATAAACTGCATTTAATTTATAAGGCACAGAAGGTCCGAGGTAAATATCCAATTTCTAGGGTCTTTTCACGTTTCAGCTTCATTAGCTTTTCTAGTTTCATCTGTATCTTTTGCTGACTTAAACTATGTGCGATTCTTTTATTAATTCAATAATTTATCTAGACGATATTTTATTTAAGCTGAATAACTTATATCGGATAACCTTTTTCTGAAGGAGCTAAAATACACTACACAATATAAAATCTACATTTCTAAATAATACAGAAAATTTGCACTTTATAGGCATATTTTTTATTGTGTCCGTGCGATCAATATTAGTAGAGTTTACCGGATTTTCTATTTCATGTCAAAACTCATTTTGTTAACTACAACTTTAATGTTATGCAAGTCGCACATAAACGTTGAAAGTAGCTTATCTGCATAGAAACGGCTTACCGCCTTGCCCTGAATAGTAACGACAGAAATAATTTCTAAAAAAGAAAAAACAATTAAGGTAAACACAATAGTTGGCCAGATACAAAATGGATACCCGATAACAAGATTCCGATACAGTTAATAATATTGTACCATTTCAGAGCATAATTGCTCTACGGATTGTGTGACTTCTACTAAATGTTGTTTCATACTTGTATAAACGTTTTATAAGATCTACTTGAATAATTTTTATTGTTACATGTAACGATAAAAATGGTATAAAATAACTTACTAAGTGTGATTTGTTTGTACGAAATAATAATAAAAAAAATTATGCATTTATGTACCGAAATTGCATAAGTCAGGCGCCGTCTAACCAGACGTAACTATTGATGAATAAAAACACAGGTGCATTTAATTAAATTGAATTGTTTTAAATGTCATTTTATTTCGTATTGGAATTTTATAATAAATTCCATTAATGTTGCAATTTATTTAAGAAAAACAATTCGTTGATCATTATGTGTAATATACTTTTTATACTTGACCATTAATATATTTCCCATGTAGATGACTTTATACATTGAAAACATTAAAAGTTATTTTACTTTTCAATAGTATTACTTAAAACTAATGTTTCTAAATGATACGCATTAAAACATATGTGAAATTGCATTCAAAGTAATGTTGTAATAGAGTGTTATTCATAAAAAATTAGTAAGACATTAAAAAATATTTCTTTATTTTATGTCTCATAATTTTTATTTCCTGTATTTTTTAATTATTGCATTAAATTGTATAAAACAATAATGTTGTTATTTCGATGCTCTAGATTTTAGTCTTTCTTACCATTTATGTGACAACTCTATCTTTCTATTTTATAGAAAAAACATTTTCAAATGACAAACTTTTTTTAAAATATTTATAACAAAAAATATAAGACGTCCCTAAAACTTTTGAATGTGTCTTTTTTACCGAATAAAATATTGACTGGTTTTCATTTTACTGGATCATAGTATATGTAATTTAGTTATGTCGTGAAAACTTGAAATGCCTTTATTAAATTACAGCAAGAAGGTTTTTTTTTTTACTAAGACATAGAAAATAATCAGTTTTTAAATTATACTTTATTAATGTGAAATTCTTTTAGGTAAACCATCGCCGGTAGTGGAGTGGCTGAAAAACGGCGAAGTGATCGATGACAAATGCGAGCACAACTCTGATGATGTTTTTGAAAACCGCCTGTACTGGCCAGCCGTAAATAGACATGACCTGAATTCAGTATTTACGTGTCAAGCCTCAAATACACGTCTAATAGAACCACAACGATCGTCTGTAGTATTAGACTTACGATGTAAGTACATGAAAAATAATTTTAAACAAACCACATAAAGGCACTCGAGAGTGTCAATTAAAATTAGCTTCCACTATAAATAATTATAGCACATTATTATAGATTACGTTTTAAGAGTTAATTAAAATTGTACTTCAATAAGCAAAGACATTTGCTCTTTTTGTTATGATATTACAAATAGGTTTTTAATTAAACATCATTATGAAAAACTCGTGAGAATAATGACAGTAATCTATTCTGTTTACACATTAAAATAATGTTCAAAAAAAAAAAAAACAGTAGCAAGAGCTTTAATTAGTTTTACCTTTTAATTCTTACCTGCTTTTATTTACTAATTAATGTATCCAACACCGTTGATCCATTAACATTATCATGGTAAATTTTAGAACGTGTTGTCAAAGCATTGAAATAGTTACTTTTTCAGTACTTACAATTTTTTTCATTGCTAAATTTTTAAAAACAAAGATATGGTTTAAATCTCGGCGTTTTGATTATTCCACTAATGTTAATATTTTTAATTATACACACAAAAAGGAAATTTTTCGTTAACAACATTTTTAATTAATTTCTATCTTTCAAAAAAACACACGGAACTGAATATTGAACAAATTCAAAGTACATTAACCGAGACACTAAAACTTAATTAAAATGTAATTTTTCTGATTCATTAAAAACTAGCGATGAAAATATATTTTTAAAATTGTTTTGATTTTCTGAGAAATATATATATATTTTTTTTTAACAAATTAATATGTTTGAAAACGATTTATTGTTTTTAATTGTATATCTTTGTGTTGGTTTTCAATGAATTTTAACAAAATTGAAAAATTAATTTTATGGTAACATTTTATAGCATTGCTTTGAAAATTAATTCAATTTGTAAAACCTAAATTAACGGGACCTTTAACGCGCGAACTGACATAAATAAATTTTAAGTATAGAAATATACGATAATCTTTCGATACATAAACTTTGCAAAGTTCAAAATATTGTTTGTGACACAATTATTGAACATGTTCAATTCATTATATATACTTCTATGGTGTCAAGAATTGTTGATTTTTTTATGTAATCTAATTAAATAATAAAATTTTCTTTCAAATTGCAGTAGCCCCACTATCAGCAGTATTTACCAACCGTGACTCAATTTTAGTTGCTGACCATAAATACGAAGTATCGTGTCACAGTGCGGGTTCCAGACCACCGGCCACCATTACGTGGTATCGAAACGACAAAAAACTTCTAAAAACCAAGGTCAGTACTTTTTTTTTGTAATTTACTGTTGTTTTTTTTTTTATCAAGGTCGCATTTTATAGTTCTTTACAACGAGACAAATAATAGTTGACGAAAATTAAACATTAACCATCGCGTCAAACTATATTTAATTGTAAGACTTTGTTTGTCAAGTAGTAAAACTAAATTGGAAACTTTGCGTTGCTGGAGCGTAACGTGTTATTAAAACTATATTTATGTAATGGTTCTCAAAAGTGGATTATGATAGCTGTTCGATAAAGATTTCAGCAGAGTACGGTATAGAAACATTAACTTAACGACCGGCGGGGTTGGTGTTAGAGATCGTTGGAGAATATAAGGCGGAATGTCTTGGGATTCTCGTGGTGACCGTAAGAGCACGCAAAACAAACCCGGAAGATAATTCACTCAGAATTCCGGTGGGAAACAACGAGACCCGGACGGGGTAATCGGATAAACATTAACCTAGCAAAGACGTGGAATAGTCTTCACCGGAGGTGAAGAGGGTTATTGATCCCTTAGAAAATGTTGGTCTACAGGCCGAGTTGGGGTATTGGGAATGCCATGAGGGTCATACGTAACAAGCCACCTTAAAGTATCAACGAGCTTGTCGTACTTCAAAAGCTCGAAAGACATTTTTTACATGCTAAAGTAATGTCTGGCGCTGACACTTGAATACACAATTACAGCGATGTATGCAAATTATACTGTACAATTTTTTTTTTTTTTTAGATTTTAAGTAAATTACTATTTATTTGACTTCCAGCAATACAATTAGTGTTATCGACGACCCAAAGACCTGAATGAAATCGCATTAGTTTTACTCGTGTTTTCTATTTAAAATAATCCATCGATACGGGCTATCTAATTTTTAAAGGCTTAAATAACTAATTCAAATTATCGAAAAGCTCGGAGCTTTGTAAAAATGTTAAGCATGTGAGTACTTGCTATAGAATTTCCAGTTTTTTTTTTTTAACGAGATAGGTAAAATATATAATTTACTCTTTTGTAAAATAGCAACACCTAGGCTTTAAGTAACAAATTAACCCAAAGAGAATCAATACCTTTACTTTTTTTAGTGCTTCATAAACATTGGCGTAAATCTCAGGTGTACTAAAAGTACCGCCAGAATCTAAATTAACACGCTCAAAATTGTTTTAATATTTGCACCTATGTCCATAAGACAACTAGTTTTTTGAATCAATATATAAATCCTACCAAAATATAACGTTGCCACAAGAATGTCACAACATGAAACAACAACGTCACATAAATTCTCTGATTTTCAATTGAAAAAAGCTTTCTAACATTTGATTTTTTAATGAAAAAAATTAAAATTTAAGACTCCGAGTGTCTTGGTTAATTTTATTCGAATCGCGTGTGTCGACGCGTTAAACGGATTTTGTCACGCGATACCTCGATTTTTTTGTTACACCAATTTGTCCTATCGAAATAATATCTAATGTTAACGTGCATTAGTACAGTAAATCGCACGGACATTGCGCGTCCGCTATTTTTATCTAATGATTTTCAATTTGTATTGCGATGAAAGTAATAATAAGAACACACGGTATTAAGCCGGTGAGTTATTTTTTTAGCGATGGAGTATTACGATTGTGATATTCTGTATGACCCGCGTGTCATTATCGTTGTAGGACAATGCCCGGCGCAAAAAATCATCGAGGGGCCGGGGGAGGTGAAGCTTATGAGGAAGCCCATAGCGTTATTTTTGGAATGAAAACGAGGCGCGCCAATACATCACGCGTTTCGGTAATTTCGAGAACTCCAGTAATGGTTACATGTGAATAAACGTATCGCTAACACCTGTCATGTAGAGGATAATGCAAATTTAGTTTATAATTTTGAAACTTGTCACCCTCCGTCATTCGCCTCCACCCACCGTGACGGTAACACGGAGCGTACCATTTCTGGAGTACATTTTCGCAACAATGTGTTTTGCCCGCTCACTTGGTTGGTGTGAGTTTTATTTTTATATATTCCTTTGCCGTGTAAACACGATATTCTCGTTAACACTGTCAACCATTAATCGTGTACACGTCGAACTGTGGCGGCGGACACAGCAAAGAACTGAATTACACATCTTCCTGTACCGCACCAGTAATAAATTATTGCGAAAAATACCCACGAGTGCTATCAAGCGGAAATATCTTTTGCTTTTTTTTTTTTTTTTTTTTAACAAGAGTAGGTATTCGGGGATCGTTTAGTGTTCGGAAACGGAACAAAATGAATACATTTAATACCGCGTTTTATATTGAAACACGAGACACCAAAGAGGGTAAAAACAAAAGGTTTTTTATGATTATTAATTCGATTTCCTTTATTGACATTTTTACGCGTCAATAATCTGATTATTCTCAGTTGTGCGGTCGACTGATTGTCAAAACATGTTCGAAAATGCCATGCATTGATGAATTCGTGTTTGAATACCGATAAGTATGTGGAGTGTGGGTTAAACTTTTGCACGTCACATGACATTTGCGGACATCAGCGGCTATTAACCGTTCATTTTCTTTTATCAATCATGCCTTCATAATAAAATAATGCAGTAATGCTCTTTAATGGAATTCAAGACATTTCAGTTCCCCGAAAATGTGTAGTTCTCAACACGTTTGATTTCTCGCTTTGATTTGTAGATGAATTGTTAAAACGAAATTTAAATATTTTTTATACGTCAATTCAAAATTGAATAAAATCACGTTAAATCCACTAACTGACTAAAATTTATTAGAACTGTTTTAAAACGATGATATTTGATTTTTTATTCAAATGATTTATAACAATCAAGGTCATAACGAAGCCATTCTCTAGGAGACACAAGGTCCACTTAGGTAACTTTAGAAACACAAGCAACTCACTTCTCTAAGTTTAAATACTGTTAATATTACATGGTAAGCTTTGATTAAATAAACTACGGTATATGTCCAACGTCATAAATGACAATTATAGTAATTGTAACTATAAATTTATCATATTGTATGTTGACACATTTTACTTTCATTAAAGCTTTTTATAAGTTTTGTTAGTTTCTATAAAAAATAATATCAATTATGGATTATTTTGAAAAATGGATACAATGGCATTTCTACAGAATTCAATTCTCTCTAATTAAATTTAATAAAGTGCAAAATTGTTTCCATCTGGGATCGAACCGAGAACCTTGTACGTGTGAAGCACACCTGATAACCACTATACTATAGCAATATAAACACATAACGCCATAGAGCTCTCAATAAATTGTTTAAACTTTTTAATAAAATTATATTATAAAATATTTTTCCAATATTCTATTATTTGTAAAGCTTTTAACACTATTTGAACAGTATTCAATAAACACAGTATCATAAAAACTGTGTGGGAATACCTTATTTTTCTATAATTTTAATTGAGCAAAACTTCACTTGAAAATCATTTTTATGTTAACCTTAATATTATTCATGTGGCGAAATTTTGAGTTCAGTATTATATTAAAATTATTAACCTATTTATTTGATTAAAAATACCTTCTCAGATTCGTATCGAAGCTAAAAGTCTAGTAATAGTATTGATTAACTAGTATTATATAATATTGACTAAAAAAAAAAAATTAATATCATTTGAATTAACAAGTTTATAAAAATATAAATTTAAATATTAACAACTAAACATAACATTCTATTTTCAAAACAGCTTTGATATCTTATATTAGAATAAGATACTAGAGGTATTAATATCAATTCAGATTATTTTTTTTTATATTTCTTTAAGTTACACTGAAACGGATATAGTTACACAAGGCATTTTATTTTGAATAAATCTATTTTCAGTCAACATCTTGTAACTCTAAAAAATCTTCAACATGAATAAACCAGGGTTGAGAATAAAATGTGTTTTTTTAATCAAAAAATTGTTTTTAAACAGAATTAAAATAAATTTATTTTAAATAAAAAATGATAGGTAATTAGATGTTTTATATTTTTACTTGAAATAGGTACTTCAAATTTTAATTCAGTGTATAGTGGTATCATTGATAAAGATAATATGACTTTGCTTTGTTATTTTTAAAAAAAATTTTGATGATGCAATTTATCCAATAGTGCAACAATGATGAGTTCTATGTTAGACATTTTTATTTAATTTCATCTTATTTATATCCATAGTGTTTGGGAAAACTACCAAAATAAAGTATAAACATACTTATTTTTATTCATACATTTTTGATTTGGATAGTTTTTTCCCCTGAGAATCACCAATATGATGTGTAAACTGTTGTTTATATGGTTTAAAAGATACAAATAAAACGATGTTTGATTAATTTAAATGTTTAAAACAAAATGTGTTTTAAACATCTCAACCTTGAAGTAATAAATAAATAAAATCATAAATTCTGTCAATTTAAATAAATTAATATTTTGTCCAAAAAAATTGCAATGAAATTATTTTAATATATATATTTTTTAATCAAAACTAAATCGGATCAGAGATACACTTAAGATGATTTGGCCATATTTTTACTTAAATTGAATGTAAACTTTGAACTTATTTGCATTCATACTTTATCAAAAATGTTTGATACTTCAAATAAAACTCGTAATTCAGTGGATGTAAGAAGGTGTTTATATCGTAAGACCATTTTATAAGTTTCAATGACTCCTTAACTTACACAATAAAGATAAATATCTGTTAACACATTTAGCAGTGGTATAAACAACAAAGTACGAATAATAAAAGGATATTAGGAGGTAACGACGTAATACTGCATACTTTCATGATGACAACATAAATTATCTGTTTACTTAGTTGAATATAATTTCTTTACAATTTTACTTTGAATTTGAATGTGATACAAGGCCTATTTAAATTGAAACATTTTAATCTTATCATTTTTGTGTTAATTAAAAACCTGAATGTATGATAATTTAAACCAAGCCAATGAAAAACGTGAATTTTTAATGAAATATTTAGTGGTTATTATTTTCTCATTTTGACGAAAAGCGAAACCATAGAAATTCAAAAATAGAAATATCATTTTTCTAACAAACTAAGAATAACTTAATAACTAATAAATTAAGGAATAATTTAATCACTTCATTTTATTATGCAATTGAGATTTAAATTTTACGAAATACGATAAAATATATGAATTAGTAACATTTATAATTTATAAATAAATTAACTATTTAAATATATCCATATTCAATTAAAAGGAAATAATAGTGAAAAAAAAACCTCCTAAATTACAATAGTTTTTTTCAATTGTGCACGCAATCTTACTTTATAAATATCATATTATATCTAAATAGATTACAGTGCCATTAAAGTAATCTACATACCAATAATTTCAATTAATAAAAAATATATTTCTATCATAATCATGCACATAAATTATGATAAGTTGATTCTCTTACAATACAAAAGTCTGCATCAAGAGAATACTTCACAACTAATGAGTGGTTCGACTGATATTTAAAAACTTGATTTTATGAACAGGCAAATTTTAAATATAATCTGAATAAGAATAATAGACATGTATCATAATGAAATAATTTAGTAGTGCATGGATAAAATCTAGACTAGTCTTGATTGTATTCATAAGTATTTTTTAATAAACTTGCTGTAAAATTAATAATTGTAGATATTTGTGACATTCTAATAGAACTTTCAAGTTTTCATATTAGATTTAAAAAATTATGTTTACTTGTAAAATAATAAGAACATATTATTATATGAGTGTATGCAAAATAATAAAAAGTAACCATTGGTCGTTCAAAGCATAATAAAAAACATTAATGAATTTCGACGTGCGTACACAAATCAATTTACAGTAAATATTATATTTAATGCCGAAAAAATTTATGAGCGTTTTCTTTCGAATTCTGAAGAAAATAATAAATTCAAACATGTTATTAAATTTCCATCTGAGTTTGACCTAAGTTTATCAAATAGTTTATTGACATGCTAATGTCGAAAGAATTTCATGATAACAAATATTTTTTACCGTTCTACGTAATTATTTTGTCGAGTTATGTAGTAATTAAAACAACAAAATTCAGTGACACTTTTACAAAATTATTTATAAAAATTTTAAATAAAAATTTTAAATAATAGTTTGTATTTAAAATGTGTTTGATATATTCAACAAAATTATTGAATCAACTTTATTAATAATTCAACACTTGTGTATAATAACGACATGTTTTCACTGACCTGTTTGACCCCCAAATTTGTTTTATTATTATTGTTGTTATTATTATTATAATTTATTATGAACCAATATAATTATATACCAACTCATAACTGAGTAATGCATTAACTATGAACACACTGGAAAATGTAGTTTTTGCTTTATATTATTGGGTATTTTTTTTTTTTTTTTTTAAAACGTTTTCGTAACTATAAGTTTATGCTAAAACTTTTGCGCGCTGTATATTTTTATTATACGTAGCGTTTCAACAGAAAGTTATAGAAAAGGTCAGATTTTTATCGTGTGTATTTGGTTTCGGACCCACCTTAATAAATGGCGGCTTTTCACATAAGAAATTATTGGTTTACACAGTAATGACGGTTTGATTACTGTAATACCATCACTACGCCCAATCTTACCGCCTACCGATCACTCTTTTCAAAAAGTGTAAAAGTTTTTATATTTAAGGATAAAAGGTGTGCACATGAATAATTAGGTAATTTTTCGACAATTTCAAAACAATATTCCGTGTAAAATGTTCGAAACATTTAACAAAAATTGTAGATTCATTAGCTAATGCAAATGATCACTGTAAATTGAACACCAAGCTACGGATAAATAAAATATTTATGCGTGTATGGCTTATTTTTAATTCTGTAGGTTTAACTCTTTTCTTTTGAATTTTTTATTCATACGATAGAAAAAGTATAAAATACTTTTTCATAGCTCTGAGGATGTTCAGAAAGTTTCAACATCCTTACACTCATATGAGTCAGTCGGCAATAAGTTAAAAAATACCCATTTCAAATAAGAAATACATGCAAAATCGATTCGAATCAAACCCTTTTCATTTTTACACATTCGTCTTTCTCGTAGTTTTCACTAACAGAGCAACAGCAGTTTTGGACGTGTTGCACTATATAATATAGTCCACTGCGCCCTTAGTTCCGTCCAGATAGTTTCGTTCGATGATTTACGGTTGTAACCGGGCAACCGCTGAATATGAACATTGCCTTCAATCCCCACCTTCTAGCCATCTAAACTTTTTGCGCTTGCAAAAAAGAAAAAAGATAATAATAAATCGAAAACTCTTGAACGATTTTAAAGGGTCTATGCGAAAGATTGGCACGTCACCTACTGTAAAATTTGTAGCCTCGTCTTGCGAGTACAGTCAGATCCTCTTCGAAGAGTGAACCGCTTGTGTTGTTAAAAATAAATATTTGTGTGTGTGGGACAAATGGTACATGAAGTATTCACATACTTAATTCGGTTGGCAGCTCAAATTTGTGTCTATACGGGCTGGTTTTTTAGTGCGTACTTCGAGTACTTTACCTAACCCCTTCGGGGTTAGTCTGTTTTCGTAATGAAATTTTAAACACGGCGTTTCTCATTTTTTTTCGTATACTTTTAAAAAATGCATGATTCAAGAGTTTAGTTTAACCATCTAGTTTTTAGCTCGTTTTCTCATCAGCAGTACGGTCCCCAAAAGTTATTAAAGTGAACAATACGGTCACGCGGGTGACACTGTCGTTATACAACATTGTTCACATTTCACGTTATTATTATAATCGAAACTTGAAAAAATTTACCGTCAAAATCTTGTAAACGCATCTCAGACAGTCTTCCATCGACCATTTCATGCTCCATTTCTCCTACCCTTCACGAAGTACTTCAAGAAAAACCGATTCTCTAATCTATTTGATCCCTTTTCACCGGCTCTTCTCGCCAAAATGATTCCGTTAGACGAATGAACCTGCTCTAGTACTTTGCGCTACATTAAATAAATTAAATTTTCAATAATTTATTTCCGAAAAACTTGTAAATGATTTATTTGGGACCAGATGTGTTGACGAGTAATGTAATTATACCAGTAAACTTAGAACTAAATAATAAAATATTATTTTAAAAAATGTTGAGCCTCAAATTTAAATCTGATAGTTATGTGAATTCACATTTTATTACTTAATTATCAAAGTTCAACAATTTTATGTATTCGAAAAACCAACGTGTTCGTTTTTCAAACAATTGATTTTATTAATAAGAAACATTAAAAAGTTCTATCTTCTTAATGAAAACAATTACAAGGTTCAAACTCACAGAAATGAATTTCTTCTCTCGATTTACTGGACCGGCAGATGGTTAAATGACAACAATACATTAAGAGGGAAAAAATCATTAAGGTTTCTTCATTGGATTTAATTAAAATTTAAGCGTAATGGTAAATAAAAAAATAAAGCTGCAGCAAACCAAAAATATAAATATAAAATCTGACTAACGGTTGTAGTGGTTTATTGACTTATTTAAGTCTACAATGCTCCACCGTATGAAAATGCACAAGAGAATATGATATGCTGTATCTTCATGTCATATAAAACAAGTATATTGATAGCATTATAACAATTCTAATTTTCTAGTTGAGCAAAAAATATCAATTTCAATTTATAGTACATAAATAAAACAATTTTCAGCTTCATTATAATTAAAATAATTTTTCACTGGAATACAAAAAAGGTTCATTTCATTTCAGTATTTAATTAATACTAATAATGAATATTTATGAACAGATTTTTTAAATATTTAAGATAGCTTTAGTCTACAGATATCTTAAATATACACATCTACAGCATGTAAATGAGTATACTTAAAACTCTGACTTAAATTTATAGACATATTTTTATGACACAAGAATTCATTTTCATTAATCAAGTATAAAACAAAATTCATTCTTTAAATTATTTTGAAATTATTAAATATTATGAAAATACAAAATATTACTAGAAAAGGCAATCTTTAGTCCAATCAAAAGTTTACACATATTACAATGAATTTTTAAATATTACGAGTATATTGTATTATTATGAGTATTTTTACTTGTCCGGTCAATTTTAGAGTACGACTCAATAATTTGGAGTCCCTATCAAAATTGTTTAATACAAAACAAATAATTTTGATCAAACATTTAAATAATTATGGGTTGATTTCAATATAGAAACATTGAAATTTAGAAGACATTTTGATGACTTATGTTAGCTATATAATTTACTTAATCCTAAAAGACTGTCCTGAAGTGCTGTTTTTATGATACCTAATTTTTTGTTAAGATCTATCTATATATTTCATATTCCTACACATAAATCCAATTACTATTTTTCGCACCAATCAATTGAATGTCAATGTTAGGACACAAATTTGGACGATCAAAAAAATGTTAAATATTTTTTCATACTATCCCTGAATTAATTTTTATTTAAAGAAGTATTGTAATTTAAATCAATGATGTTGTAAAGTTATATATTTCTTGTATTAGCTTAATTTTGAAAGTTAGTTGAGTAATATTTGTTTAATTTTAGTTAAATTTTGTTTTGTACGTTTAATTGATTTAAATCTATATGTAATCTGTGATCGTCTATTATTCATTAAAAAATAAAAATATTTCAAATTCTTTACGACAAAATATTGATATTTTTTGCAGCCCGACGAAGTTAACGAAAATGTGACATCTAGTGAGATAACATTTGTGCCAACAACCGACGATAATGGTAAGTCAATCACCTGCCGAGCAGAAAACCCTCAAGTACCATCTTTAGTGGCTGAAGCAAATTGGGTACTCAGAGTAGTATGTAAGTATATATAAGTCTTCTGTCTTCAATTCAATGTACAGATATTTAAGTAAAAGAATAATCCATATACCAGTACTCTTTTTATACAGTAATTGTGATTGTTCGAGAATTATAATCTTGACATCAATCTTTAATGGTCTACTATATCATGTTCCCATTACACCAGATCCCAATTGTACTGGATTTTTTTAATTAATCAAAGCATTTTATTATCTCCTTAGGGACTATTGTAACTCAAAAATTTAAGCTTTTTACTCCAAGAAATTCATACTTTAATTGTAAACATATATTTACGCACATTAAAAATGAAAAAAACTCTAATTTATCCTACACAATAAAAAATTCCATAAATTGATTAAAAAAAAAAAAAAAATTAAACATTTTTTACAATTAAAGTAAATCTAATTAGTTTAGGAAATCTACTGTGCTTGATGTTCCATTTTATAAGAACAACTATAGCTCCGCATATTAATTCTAATGTTTAGCTAATCTTATTGCCGAAAAATTTTTGTCACGTGATTCTTTTAAGCAAATTTTATACATAGCTTTTCATCAATTATTCATTTGATTTTTATTTTAGATGGTTAATTATGTCTTTATTACTGTTACTATTTGTTTATATTATTGTTTTTTGTTATTATTTTCCATGTAGATATTTAATTTTTTTTCTGTTCTAATATTATAACTTACTCTGTAAAATGTATTATTTTAAAACGTTATTGTACCCGTTAAACATTTAAATAAATAAAGAAATAATTCCTGAAAATTTGCTAAAAAACGACTTACGCTATTTGTCACGTAGGTAATGGAATATTTTTTTATGAGATATTTTTTATTACGATAGACTAAGCGCATATTCACATTTAACAAAGATAGTAAATTATGAAATAAATACGTAAAATTTTTATTTCACTATTGATAAATAATACACTAATGTAACAAAGAAATAATATTCCATTGATATATTAAATTATAATATATCAATTTATATTCACACAAAAAAATAAAAAAAGGCGTTAAAAGTGATCGAATAAAAAGAAGAAAACTATTGAAACGAAACAAAACTACTGAAAATCATCGTTTATTTCATTTCAACGTCAAAAGCTTACTGACGTATAATATTACTATAGAACTTTTTATTAGTAAAATATAATTTAAGGTATAAATAACTTTTTCATTTTAAAGAACCAACAAAAATATTTTGATTTTCCAAACAATTAAACATGTTATATCAAATATGTATATTACTTACAATGCTCATTCTTAAAAATAGTTATTTATAACTTTAAATTTAAAAATTATCACAAGATAAATAATATTTAGCTTATTAACTTTTCTTATTATTTATATAAAAACTTATTAGCATTTATCTATTTTACAGATACAAAGTTTAAAAATCAACTACATCTGACTAATTTAATTAAAATATAATTTACTACAAGACTTAAGAATTAAAAAAAATAACAACAATTATATTCTGTATAGTTTTAACGTAAAGGATCAAAAAGACACTTTTCTTTTTGTAACTAATTATTGCTTATGAAGTACTTATTTTTTAATTTTGTTTAGTTTACAGGCTATATTTGAAAAATGTAGACTTTTTTTCAGAAAAAAATTACATAATAAAAATGCATATTTGATATATTGATTCTAAATAGAAATAAAATACAAATTTGAAGAGATTGATAATATATTTTAATAATTTTCTATCATTCTAAAATATGGTTTTATGTAACAATACATATAATTGTTTTAATTTTTCAATTTTTCATCATCAAAATGAATTTGATGATTCTGTTCTTTATAATAAATAATTAATGATAATTTATCATGAATTAATAATATAAGAGCAATAATTTATCTGTATCAATTATTTTTCAAACACATAACGAATTTTTATTTTAGTTGCTCCTATCGTTTCGCTCAGACTTGGTAATTCAATCAATCCAAACGGTATTAAAGAAGGAGACGATGTCTATTTTGACTGTCAAGTTAAAGCTAATCCACCATCAACTAAATTAACATGGTATCATAATGTAAGTTTGTCACTTAAATTAATTATATTATTGTTTTGAATTTATAAGAAAACTAACTATTTAATAATAATCTTTAGTAAAAAGTGTTTGTAAATTAATTCGTGAACAATATTAACTACTAATTGAATTAAACTTTAATGTTTATAAATAGATTATAATTATTTTTTTAACACATATTAGTAGGTTTTATTTCATTGAGCCACTAAACAACTACTCAAAGTGATTTTTCCTTTTAATGTGGCTTATCTGTAGGAAATAATCATTTTTTATCTACATAATAACCTTGAAGAACATTACATTTATAATTAACAAGGAAATGTTAATTCTATATTAGACATTGTAATTTTATTTTTCAATCAACATTTTTATCGTTTATTATACCTAAACTAACATAAAAATGAAATAAAAAAAACACTCACATATTATCGTATATATTACAAATAATAGGGAAAGATATGGAATCTTTAATATGTAAGAATATGTTGTTATCAAAGTAGAAAAATTATAAGCTTTTATTCATTTTTTTAATTATTATGCCCGCATAAATTCAAATTGCTCTAACTTTTTATAAAAGAAATCCTCCACTCCCAAATGTTTAAAGAATGATAGTTAAATGTATGTTAATAATTTTTAAAATTTTCAAAAATATATCTTGTAGCCCTATCAAGCTTCTTTTAAATACATAAAGTGAATATATTTTTATATATTATTATTATTATTATGTCATATTTGGGAGACAATAACTGAATATATATTTTTTTCAAATCATTACAAATTGTTAAAATATATTTGAAGTCGATACTGTAAAAACTCGGAAGTGGAGAAATGTTTTTAAGAGAGCATTTCGAATTTAAAACTGTCATAATAATAAAAATAAATGAAAAATAGTAAATTTCTATGTTTAACAGTTGCGTACGCAAAAGTTTTTCAAAGGGTGTATTGTATTACACCATTTGACATACAATTTGTTGTTGTTTATTTTTGCACGTTATATAATTAAATGCTTTCCTCTTAGTTTAGTAAAATATAGTAGATAATAATAGTAATAATAGTATTCTAGTTAATGAAAATAGATATTTGTATGCCAAAAGAATTTTATAATGACTTTTAAATGAACATTTTAAAAATTTGTTTATCTCATTTATAGTTTTGTGAGAATTTGACATGCAAATATATTTTTAATATTTATAAAGTTAATGTATAATTTTATTTTTCTAAGTCGTGGTATAATAAAAGAAATACGACAGAAAACAAAAAAAATTTAAATAAAATATGCGTAATATTTATGAAAAAATTACCTGTTTCCGCCCGGGATCGAACCGGGGACCTTGTGCGTGTGAAGCACACGTGATAACCACTACACTACGGAAACCACATGACATTTCTTATAAATCTTATACTATTTAACTAAATCATCATGTTTTTTTATATATTAAGAATTAATTTTTTGGTATTATATATATTTATTAATTTATATTCTTAATGTAACTTATATTTAATAATATTACTCATTTTAAAATGTTGTTATTTATTTATGTGTAATTTCAACTACTTTTAATTTTTAATATAAAAATTTATTAAAATATTTTTCGAAAAATAATTGCGTCAGAATTTTTTTATTATTGGGTAGCGAATTATTATGATACAAAAAGATCGTTTATATGTAAATTTAAGTATTTTTTTATAAGTGTATGATGTATCATTTTATAGAAATTAATTTATTTTAATTTAATCAATGAAAATTGAATTTAAAATGTATACACTACACCATCATAATTATTTGATCTATAATATCTTTTAATGAAGTATTCCGTTTGTAACATATTTTGTAAAATATAGTTGTAAATTTGTAAACTGTACTATTACAAAATTGTAGTACATCCTTATGACACCTGAGCAAAATACAGTTACATTGACAAAATAGCTTTCGACACTATTATACGATTTCATAAAAACTTATTAAAGTTGTATACATTCAAGTAATATTAATAAGAATCAAATTTATGAAAATTGAATTTTGATATTAAGTGATAAATTATGCGCACAATGTTCCAACAGGTCTGAGTGCATGGGCATTATGTCCACCTCGATAATAACTAAGAGCTAAATTAATTAATTACAAAATGTGACCAATTTTTTTTTTTAACACAAAAAGTAACAAATTATTTACTCTTTGTAGGGCAATATTTTGAGTTTAAATTCATCTGCCAGAACTATGAAGAGTGATAACAACTTAGTGCTCCAAAGAGTGACAAGAAGCGTAGCTGGAAAATATGCTTGTAGGGCGACAAATTCCGAAGGAGAATCATTTAGCAATGAACTCAATCTTCGTATAAAATGTAAGTTGTTTTACATAAATAAAATATAAATAATACAGACAAAACACGATAAATTTACTATCTGTGCTTAGTTGTAAATATAAAATGAATAATAGCGAATAACTTAAGAGTACACCAAGGGTGTCATTTATTGTTATATTTAGTACATAAACCCTTTGCCGGAACTGGTAGACGAATGAATCTTTATCACTCTTTGAATTGTAAACAAATTATTTTTTAATTCGTTCTACTTGAGTTATTGTTTTCCTGATAAATTTTATACACGCACACAAAAAACATCATATTCGTCGCAGTCATAAAACAAATGGTAAAACACCGCAAGGGACTTTCAGCGATTCCCATCCTTAGGCCTTTCCCTCTCGCGAAACGGTTGTAGTTCACCAGTTCCGGCAATACTGACATTTTATTCTCTAACTACCGGACCCATCATATTTCCTTTAAATTTCGATAAATAAAAACATTTTTAAAAACCTCATTTCCTTGTCAGCTTGTTATAACATATAAATTGTATTTACTTAAAAAACAAAATGTATTATAAACACAAACGAAAAAAAATTATAACCATTATTACATACAGAATCTATTCATTTAAATGTGACACAATATTACCGTGCTATACGAAGAAATTAGAGATAATGAGACTATAATAGATAATAGAACAGAAAACAACACAGCACAAAGCTAATTATAACTCGTACATCTTGTTTATGGATTTATTTAAGAACAAATGTATCATCAGTGTAGTGGAAACTAAATTTTATATAATTTACAGGCCGTTAAACAAAGACCCAATTAAATAGCTGAGAGTTAAACATTTTTAACTCTCTTAAAAAAAATTTTATATAACGATCAAAATCTATTGAAAAATAATCTCTTTTAGAAAATTGTTAAATTCTTTGAAACAAGAACGAAACCTCCAAAAATAAGTGAAATGTCACATTTTATTTTTTGGGGTATTTTTTTCACTTTTTAGCTTCGATGCGAAGCTGAGAAGGTATTGGTTTTACAAAGATGTGTTTTTATTTTTTTTTTTGTGTCTGTTACCACTTTTTCTCAGCTCTCACCGAACCGATTTCTTTCAATGATACGTCAAAAGATCACAAATTGTATCTAGTCGAAGACATTACCCTCAAAAATTGAAAAAAATTCCCTCGTTCCCCGTAAAAGGGGGAAACCTCCAAAAAAATTACAAATTTAAAAATCGCTAATTTTCGAAATTTATTCAATTTTTTTTACTTAAAAGTGCCATAACTTTTTCAAAAATAAACATATCAATATAATTCTTTTTTATATAGATGCATAATATCATTACCTTTCATTTGGTATATTTTTTTCATAAATTTAACCCTTAACCTGCCCACAAGGGGGGATTTAAAATGACAACTTTTTCACAAAAAATTAATTTTTTTAACTTAAATTTTGAAAATGTTCCGGAAGGTCTGACACTTTTATATATATCTTAAATTAAAGCTAATGTAATATGCTTTATCATGAAAAAAAAAAATTTCGGACTTTATCTTATCTTCATGGTGAAAATGGCTACCGAATGCTATTTTTGTGTGAAAATTTTCGATTTTGTATTTTCCATTTTTAACTTTATTATGCTATAACTTTTTGAAAAATGTATGAATCATTACAATTTTTTTATGAGAAGTAGTATTTATATAGATCTTTCATTCGACATACTGTTTTTTTAAATCGGACCATTTCCCTAAATACAGGGGGGATTCAAAACATAAAAATGCATATAGAAAGTAGAACTTTTTCAACGTAACTTTTGAAAGTGTTCCGGAAGGTCTGACACTTTTATATATATCTTAAATTAAAGCTAATGTAATATACTTTATAATGGTAAAAAAAAATTTCGGACTTTATTTTATCTTCATGGTGAAAACAGACATTAAACTTAATAAAAAAAATACGATTTTTGTAAAAAAATTCTTTTTTATATTTTTAACTTTATAATGCTATAACTTCTCGAAAGATGTATGGATCAATATAATTCTTTTTTTTGTAGATGCATGATGTCTTTACCTATCATTTGGTATATTTTTTTTATAAATCTGACTTTTTACCTGCCTACAGGGGGGGATTCAAAATGACAACTTTTTCACAAAAAATTGACTTTTTCAACTTAAATTTTGAAAGTGTTCCGGAAAGTCTGACACTTTTATATATATCTTAAATTAAAGCTAATGTAATTTTCTTTATTATGCAAAAAAAAAATTCGGACTTTATTTTATCTTCACGGTGAAAATGGCTACCGAATGCTATTTTTGTGTGAAAATTCTCGATTTT